CCTAACGTCTACCTCTAGTGTCAAATTACTTTATTCCAATCATTTAATTAGCCGTATTATAGCCCGATATTTAGGCGATCGTTTGGTGATGTATTTACTACTCGGGCTATGAGTTGTTGATATTTATATATATATATATACCTCGCCGGGTGTTGCGTTAGCTGGCTGAGTGCCGTTATGGCCGTGGGCGAAGGAGTCGTCCCCAGTCAGTAATGTATTTAACCAAAGTAAGGTTATATCTAAATCTAATATACTTCTGGAAGCGAAGCGATTATTAATTTACTTAAGAGGTGGCGCCTAACGTCTACCTCTAGTGTCAAATTACTTTATTCCAATCATGTAATTAGCCGTATTATAGCCCGATATTTAGGCGATTGTTTGGTGATGTATTTACTACTCGGGCTATGAGTTGTTGATATTTATATAGATAATTGTAAATAATGAATTTTTGGTAATTGATTGTTTCTCTCATAATTATTTGTTTCTCCCTCGAAATTAGCATTAAGTTGCTATTGAGAACAAATCACACGGGAACACTTCTTTGATCTAAAAAGTAGGTTCATTTTTTATAATTTAGAAAATATATGCACTTCTGGCCCTATGCCCCTCTTTAGCCTTTATTTCATTAATTTATCGTCAGAAATCAATGTAAGATATTGCATAATGTAGTAAATTATATTTAACATACGTGCACAGAAAGTTTTTAAAAAATATATAATTACCTAACAAATATTAATATTAATAGTTTCCGCTAAAATAACAACAATTAAAACCGTGGAATGAAAGAAGTAAAACTAAAATAAGTTACAAAATAAATATATAAATAAATGAGTAAAATTATAAAAAATAATAAATTAGTATACTTGAAAAATAAATATATTCCCATTAAAATATGCAAATAAAGGTAGTAAAACCATAAAACCTTAATATCAATGAAACAAGGTGAAGTTCCGCTGTATGCTTACCAGAAAATACGATATTTTGTACGATAAAATGGAAATGAGTTGATGGGGAAAGAAAGAAAGAAACTTAAAATGAACTTTACAACTTTGGTACTAATGGCTGACAGTTCTCACTGATGACAACAACAGTGTTTAAATTCATTTTGTAAATTGCCTTTATTTTAATCATTTTAATGTGTTCAAAAATTCTACTTCTATATATATAATCGAGACGAGTTGATAATAATAATAATCAGCGCAGAGCCCAAACGGTTAGGAGTTGGAAGCTGAAATTTGGTACACAGTTAGGGTACGTCACGAAAACGCACCTAAGAAGGGATGTTTCGAAATTCCCTCCAGGTGGAAAGAGACAAAATTAAGGTATCGACAATGGAAGTGTTAAGTAACAATGGCGGTGTTAGGTAACAATGGAAGTGTTACGTAACAATGGAATTGTTAAGAGAAAGCGACGTGCAAGATTTACAGGCGCAGATGCAGTTCTTTCGTTTTTGCAGGAAATCGAACATATTTTTAGAACCATCTAAAAGTTTTCCAATTAGTCTGGAAACAAGGGGACTCAATTCTTGCATTCTGTGAAAACGGGTAAGGTTGACTGTAACGTTATAATCTTTATATTAGTTAGCGTTACTTTTGTCCGAGCAAAGCCGGCTCACCTGCTTGTTTAATAATATTTTTGTAAGCGTTTTGACACTGTCAAGTAAGATCTCTCAGAGGCATGATTACATTGCATAGTAACTGCCGAGTTGGTGTAATTATATTTAAGAGACCTTATATTTTTTCTTCTTCGAATTATTAACATTCTACCAAATTCACCTATGTAATAATTATTTGGATGATACGTACAAGTAAAGTCATAAATTAAATTATTTAACATAACCTCTATTATTCTAATAACTGGTTCTTTGTTTTTTTAAGAAATTCTTCATTAGGTTATTTAGTATGGGTGTTAGATTTATATTAAATGGTGTTCATATTTTTCGAATGTTTTCAAAAATTATTTGAGAATAATATAGTTTGATACAAAATATTTCTGTTTTAGGAATCGGTTGTTTTATTGTAAGACCATTCTTTAATAATTTTGTTGAAGTAGTCTCTACTTCAAAGCATATATTGTTTTAGATATTAAAAAAATTTAAATTACAGGTGTAAATTTAATGGCTCAACAAAAA